CTTCACCTCCTCCTCATCTGTATGTATGTCGTCCAACACTTGTTGGTGTATTCCTTGTTGGTGTCCCCATCTGGTCTGTCCCCCCAGAGTCCTTCCTGTCTCTACTGTAAATACTTCCTTAAATCTCGTGTTGAGCTCCTCACATACCTCTTGATCGTTTCTTGTGAGTTCTCCACCTTCTTTCCTCAGCCTTATCACCTGGTCCTTGACTGTTGTCTTCCTCCTAATGTGGCTATACAGCAGTTTCGGGTCAGATTTGACTTTCGATGCTATGTCGTTTTCATACTGTCGCTGGGCCTCCCTCCTTATCTGCGCATACTCGTTTCTGGCTCTTCTACTAATCTCCTTGTTTTCCTGGGTCCTATGCCTCCTGTACCTTTTCCATTCCCTGTTGCACTTAGTTTTTGCCTCCCTACACCTTCGGGTAAACCAAGGACTCGTTTTGGTCTTCCTATTATTTCTTTTTCCCTTGGGAACAAAACTTTCCTCTGCCTCCTTGCACTTTGTTGTCACATATTCCATCATTTCGTTTACTGATTTTCCTACCATTTCTCTGTCCCACTGAACCTCCTGCAGGAAGTTTCTCATACCTGTGTAGTCCCCTCTTTTATAGTTTGGCCTGTCCCCTTCAGTTCCTGTTACCTTCTCCACTTGTAACTCTACTATATAGTCAAAACTCAGAACCACATGATCGCTAGCTCCAAGGGGCCTCTCGTAAGTGATGTCCTCGATGTCTGAACTGCTCAGGGTGAACACAAGATCCAGTCTTGCTGGCTCATCCTCCCCTCTCTCTCTGGTTGTGTCCCTGACATGTTGATGCATGTGTGTGTGTGTGTATGTGTGTGTGTGTGTGCGTGTGTGTGTGTCTGTGTGTGTGTGTGTGTGTGTGTGTGTGTGTGTGTGTGTGTGTGTGTGTGTGTGTGTGTGTGTGTGTGTGTGTGTACTCACCTAATTGTACTCACTTAATTGTGGTTGCAGGGGTCGAGAATCAGCTCCTGGCCCCGCCTCTTCACTGATCGCTACTGGATCCTCTCTCTCTCTGCTTCCTGAGCTTTGTCATCCCTCTTCTTAAAACTATGTAGGGTTCCTGCCTCCACTACTTCCTTGCGGGCTGAAAATATCTACCCTAGACAGGACTCGCAGCAATGGTTTTAAGTTGGAAAAATTCAGATTCAGGAAGGATATAGGAAAGTACTGGTTTGGTAATGGTTTGGGGGATGAGTGGAACAAACCCCCAAAGTACGTTATGGGCCCGACGTTGTGATTTTTTAAAATGGTTGGTAAATACATGAGTAGTGGGGTGGGTTGAGTTAGACCTGATAGCTTGTGCTAACAGGTCGGTTTCCGTGTTCCCCCCTTTTAAATCATGTGACCTGACCTGTTGGTTGGGTGCTTTTGGCTTAAGGCCGGGGGAGATTGGACCTGCTCGCAGGGCCGTAGGCCTTCTGCGTGTTCCTTGTTCTTATGTTCTTTGTTCTTATTCCCCTTGTGACAATCTAGATGAAAAAATACTTCTAAAGTCCCCGTGATCGTTGAGTTTCAGCTTCGTTGTGACCCCTTGTCCCTGTGTCCCCCCCTTTGGGAAAATCCCATCTCTGTCCACCTTGTCTTTTCCCCCCGTATTTGTATGTGTTTCATGTCTCCCTGACCCTTCTGTCCCCCGTGTGTAGTCCGATTTCCCTTAACCTTCCTCGTAGAATTCCCTTGAGCTGGGGTAGCCTTGTTGAAAACCCTTTGTACTTTCTCTAACTTCTTGACGTGCTTGACCAGGTGTGGGTTCCAGACTGGTGCTGCATACTCCAGTAAGGGCCTAACATACACAGTGTACAGTGTCTTAAAACGATTCCTTATTAAGGTATCGGAACGTTTTCTCAGGTTTGCCAGGCGCCCGTATGCTGCAGCAGTTATTTGGTTGATGTGGGGGCCTCGGTGTTTGTGCTCGGTGTTATGGTCACCCCAAGGTCTTTCTCCCTGAGTGAGGCCTGTAGTCTTTGTCCACCTAGCCTATACTCTGTCTACGGTCTTCTTTGCCCTCCCCAATCTTCATGACTTTGCATTTGGCTGGATTGAATTCGAGAAGCCAGTTACTGGACCACATGTCCAGCCTGTCCAGGTCTCTTTGCAGTCCTCCTCATCCTCGTCCGATTTAATTCTTCTCATCAACTTCACGTCATCTGCGAACAGGTACACTTCAGAGTCTATTCCTTCCATCATGTCGTTCACATATATCAAAAATAGCACTGGTCCTAGAACTGACCCCTGTGGGACCCCGCTCGTAACAGGCGCCCACTGTGATACCTCTTCACGTACCATGACTCGTTGCTGCCTCCCTGTCAGGTATTCCCTTATTCATTGCAGTGCCCTCCCTTTTACATGCGCCTGATCCTCCAGCTTCTGCACTAATCTCTTGTGGGGAACTGTGTCAAAGGCCTTCCTGCAGTGTGTGTGTGTGTGTGTGTGTGCGTGTGTGTGTGTGTGTGTGTGTGTGTGTGTGTATGTGTGTGTGTGTCTATGTCTGTCTGTGCGTGCTCACCTACTCACTTGTATTTGGTTACAGAGATAGAGTCATAGCTCCGGTCCCATATTTCGAATTGCCGCTTGCCTGATTCGCTCCCTTCTAGCCTCGTGAGACCCTATCATACCTTAGAGAGGTCATTCCACTTCCAGTCCACGATGAAACTGAAGAAATACTTCGTGACATCACTGTGGCTATTCTGTCTTTAACTTCCAGCTGTGCCCCCGGATACCTATTTGTCGCCTCTCAAACAGCCTGTCTCTGTCTACCCTGTCAATTCCTTTGAGTATTTTTAATGTTGTAGTTTTTGAACCGTAATATCAGCACGTCTCTGACAAGACAGTGATGGAGTGAGTGGTGATGAAAATTTCTTCCCTTTCGGGTGACCCTTCCTCGGTGGGAAACGGTCATAGTGTTAACAAAATTAATGTTATCGTATCTCTCCTGGTTTCTCTGTCCTCCTAATGTCCTTAGATTTAATTATGTTAGCCTCTTCTCGTAGCTAATACCCTTTAAACTCTTCTTATTCCCACCAATGTCAGCAGAAACTCATTCACCTCTAATGACTCGCAGAACTGAATTTTTACTGTTATAAGCAAATCTGGTAATCATGGGTCAAGTCCTGCGTGTTCTGTCTGTTCCCTGAGATATTCACTTTTCTTTCTCCCTAGCTATCTGTCTTTCTCCCTAGCTGTCTGTCTTTCTCCCTAGCTGTCTTTCTCCCTAACTGTCTTTCCCCCTAACTGTCTTTCTCCCTGTCTTTCAATATGTGTGCTGACATCATAATTCAGTGACCCACTGACCCGTAACGTCCAAGCCTGACTTTCAACGTTCAGTCGCCATACTGACAACTTGCAAAACTAAAGTCCGGTTTCTCTGAATCTCTTCATAGATATTACCCTGTTTAAGCTCCAGTAACATATCAAATACTTAAAAACTTCTTGTCCACACCAACTCCAATCAAACACGCTCACATACTTAGGGACGTTCTTTCTCGGACGTCCCCAGATTTAAATTCAGCTTATTTTCTGCCACTCTTTCTACATGAACAAGCCATCTTAACAGTCCCTCTCTCACTCTTTGAATTATAGCATTCATACTATGGCGAAATCTTTTAATTTCTTCATTCTTTATTCTCAACATAATCTTCACATCACACAGTGTTCTCATTCTCATCTCCATTGCTTCCAACCTCCTCTTCACCGAATCATTTAAAAGCCACATCTCACGCCCACATAACAGAATCGGTACCACACGAGTATGTGATGCTTTGTTGTTAAATAGCGTGGAAAACCTAATTTCTGTAACGGAACAGATGCTTAACTAAGGGTGTACGATACCAGTGCCACATCTGTTGCTTACGGCCCATAAAGCGTCTTTAAAATTAGTGTTGTTACGAAAGTGCCTCAGTAAACAGGTATTACCGAAATCGTTGCTGCAGAACAGGTTGGTTAATCTGTCTTCGGCCCCATTTGATCAGCTCCACAGGCTAGTAATCACTAAGAATATTGATTTGCTAAAACACCAAAGGAAAATATTATTCACTGGAGTGAAAAAGGCCAAACATAGGTTCTTCAACATGGTACCACTTGAGTGGCAAGATTAGATAACATATATAGAAGTTTGATAATACTGAAGCAAAAAAAACTGAATGTTTACATGCACGCAAATTAAACAACCTCATAGAACAAAGTGGTTGGTCCCAACATGCTAACCAGGATTTCGCTATTAACCTGTCGAGTGTTGAGCTTACCAGGGACCAGCAGACAGTCCTAGGATATGGTTTGAGTTTTGCGCCCACTAGTGAGGGCATTAATTATGTTGACCTTGCCAAGTCTTCTTGCATCCTGGAAAAACAAGGTGATCTTTCCCCGGAAACTTTCAACATTTACAAAGGCATGGTATATGGAGCTTTGCTCAGACCTATGGAACTGAATTGTCCCAAAGATTTGTTAAGTCATATCATGAATTAAGGAAAGATCCTAGACTTCACCTTACGAAAGTTGACAAAGTAAATGCGATAGTAATTATGGATAAGGTAGATTATAGTGGTAAAATGATCATACTATTAGAAAACACGTAAACTTACGTGCCACTTAATAATAACTGAACGGGTCGTCTGACAACCACCCGCGTCAGGAGACACTCTCTTCCACCACCATACAATGATAAATTTATTTATATCCAAAGAATTTCAACATTACTTCCGTTTTCTCTCCCTTATTCATGTGGTTCATCTCATCTTTCATGGACCAATCTCATGCCCGAGCCACTGCTAGATAGCAAACACATTCAATCTCATCATATTCCTTTATTCCATTCTAACTTCCAAATTCTCCATTCACTATATTTCTACTTACTCTCATTACCTTGTTCTGTCCTGTGTTAACATTCGAGATTGGTGTGGTATTGTGCCATAACTGGTCCCTATATTTTTAGACTCAACGTTGATACATGATAAATGAATTTTTTTTTTCTGTTTCAGACATCAAGGAGAAGTTGGATAATTTAAGCACAATCAAAACCAGTTATTGAGAGAAACAACGACAGGCATCTTGTGGTAAGTAACCCGCAGAGCTTATTTACGAAGTCACTGTGATTCCTAGTTCCTATACTACCGTTGTTCCTGCACAATTGTGGTTCCTATACTATGCTCTTCTTGTACAGTTGTTGTTCCTGCATTATTGTTCCATTACGATTGTGGTTCCTGTACTATTGCTGTTCCTTTACGATTGTGGTTCATATTGAGGCAGCAAACAATTTTAGGGTGTTTCTTTTAATCTTCAATTCAGTAGGTTGCTGCTGGTGTAGTTCCAAGGTGTAAAAAGTAGAACATTTGTATATGGTGAAACATTCTGCGTGAGGAAGAAAGATCAACCAGGGACAAAAAAGTCAGTGCGAACTGTAACATCCGTAAACAAATGTGATGAACAGTGGCAGGTATCCTTCACTGTGGACAGATATAAGGCTCAGATTCTATTTAAATTAAGCAACCGCGGTGCCTATACGCTAAATAACTAACTTAATCAAGTCGGATGTGAGAACAACTTGAAGAGTTTTGCAAATCAACCACAGATGCAGTACTAGGACATTTATTATGGAAACCTTTCGCTCATGAAACGTTTCCCCAAAACGGCACCGTGCTACACTTGTGGCGTGTTAAAATTACGTATATATTATTATATTTATGGAGAAACGCTAAACGCGTATGGAACCAAGTCATCAGAACATGAAGTCTTCACAATGAAGATGAGATTGCTTGACTTTATAGTCAAAAGAAATACATAAATAAGAGAAACCTCGAGGTCACAGCTCAGTTGATCATATAGTGGGTAAGGCTTTAATTGCAAGTGCAATCTAGTTCTAGTCTTTATAGAACAGAAAGTATATAGAGAGCATGACACAGGTTTTTCAGTGTCTCGGAATCTTTCCCACAAAAATTCAGTAGGAGCACTGACCTTATAATTTAAGAAGGCATAGAATGAGGGAAGTGTGATTGAAGTGTACAATATCCTGAATATATATATATATATATATATATATATATATATATATAATATATATATATATATATATATATATATATATGTCGTTCCGAATATGTAAAACTGGTCAATTAGCAAGAACTCATTTAAAATTAAGTCCTTTCTAAAATTTTCTCTTATACGTTTAAAGATATATTTTTTTCATTAATGTTGATGTAAAAATTTATAATTTTGCACCAAAAGAATCTTAGAAAACTTACCTAACCTTATTATAACAAGAACAATTTAATTTAGCCTAACCCAACTAAATATATTTTAGATTTGTTTACAGTAATTTAATACTAAACAAACACAGTGAAATATATTTTTTTCGTTAGGTTCAGAATGATTTTGGCGAAATTATTGCATACACAAATTTTCACTTGTCCTATATGGCAAGATGAGCGTTGCTATTTAAGCCAAGATGGCAAGTTCTGCCTATTCGGCACGACAATATATATATAATATATATATATATATATATATATATATATATATATATATATATATATATATATATATATATATATATATATATATATATATATATATATATATATATATATATATATATATATATATATATATATATAAATGGCATTCAAACTTGAGACTATATGCGTAAGAAACAACGCTCTATAATTGTTAGTATATGCCTCTGTGTCGTACATTATAAATGGCACAGAGGCAACTATTTTTTTATTTTCAAGGGGGAGCGCTAAACCCGTAGTATTATGCAGCGCCTGTGGGAGGGATGTGGAAGGTATTCAGGCTTAATTCAGGGAACCGGAGCACAGATCCAGTTCCCTAGATCAAGAGCCCCTCACCAACATCAAGGAACCTTCCTTGAGGGGTTGTTACAATAGAGAGGCAGCAACAGTTTCAAACAATATTTAGCAGGCACCTCCATCTATTAGTTATTTTAAGCTGTGAAAGAACTTTAAACTCCAATACCGTGTACTGCGACTTTCTCTAACTGCACATTTAGATCTACTACTGAGGCTCCCTTCAAGTGACTGTTTTTGGTTGTATTAAAGTAGTCAAGATTTCCTGTACTTGGTGTAGTAACTTCAAGTTATGTAGTTATGGGGATTATCTCTCAAAGAATATAGGATGATCAGGACCCTGTCAGTACACAATGAACAAATTTTTTCTCATTCAGAGCCTTCCAACGACAACTGTACAATATATGTGTTAAATCAGCTGTCTAAGCTCGAAGAAGAAACCAAGCTCAAGAATGATGAACTCAGTCAACTGCAACAAAAATACGACAAATTAAACACAACCTATCTGAGTGTAAGTATGGCCAAGAACGACCTGGACGAACAAGTGAAGAACCTGACTGCTACCCTCGACGCCACCCGCTACAGGTCTAGTTTACTTTGCTTCTTGTAACACCGGAATTATTATTCTTATTTCATAAACTGCAAATGCGTAGTAGAAATGCATCTTCCACGAATATAAAACCTAAATAATACATATCTACATTAATACTAACACACACACACACACACACACACACACACACACACACACACACACACACACACACACACACACACACACACACACACACACACACACACACACACACACACATATATATATATATATATATATTTTATATATATATATAAAATATATATATATATATATATATATATATATATATAATATATATATATATATATAATATATATATATATATATAATATATATATATGTCGTGCCGAATATGTAAAACTGGTCAATTAGCAAGAACTCATTTAAAATTAAGCCCTTTTTAAAATTTTCTCTTATACGTTTAAAGATATATTTTTTTCATTAATGTTGATGTAAAAATTTATAATTTTGCACCAAAAGAATCTTAGAAAACTTACCTAACCTTATTATAACAAGAACAATTTATTTTAACCTAACCCAACTAAATATATTTTAGATTTGTTTACAATAATTTAATACTAAACAAACACAGTGAAATATATTTTTTTCATTAGGTTCAGAATGATTTTGGCGAAATTATTGCATACACAAATTTTCACTTGTCCTATATGGCAAGATGACCGTTGCTATTTAAGCCAAGATGGCAAGTTCTGCCTATTCGGCACGATATATATATATATATATATATATTATATATATATATATATATATATATAATATATATAATATATATATATATATATATATATATATATATATATATATATTCAACAAGTCGGCCGTCTCCCACCGAGGCAGGGTGACCCAAAAAGAAAGAAAATTCCCAAAAAGAAAATACTTTCATCATCATTCAACACTTTCACTTCACTCATACATAATTACTGTTTTTGCAGAGGTGCCCAGAATACAACATGTTATTACCATAACCTGTTTTAATACCACATTTACTATCTTAGAGTACTCTTAAATACCTTGTACTGCCAAATAACCTCTAGTATAACTACCAGTGCAATATTGAATCCAAATAACTCTTCTTAAAATTTAATACTTGAAATAAACTTTACTTTTTCATTTTACTTTTATTAATTAATCATTTTTGTAAGCATTATTACTTACTAAAATTTTTTTAAACACCATATTTACTACCAGTCAATTTTACTTTTGTACATTAATCATTATTTTATACTTTTCTTAACCTTTTTTTGGCCAAAGTTTTAAGTTTGTATATTCAACTCCAACCTTAATATTATCCTTTGTACCTGTGTGCCTGTGTACCTGTGTACCTGTGTACCTGTGTACCTGTGTACCTGTCTACCATCTTACTATCATATTATAACCAAGTCATTGCCATTTTTATTTTTTATTTATTATTCTTTTGGTACTTTAATTTGTCAATTTTATTTTGTCAATTTAAATCTAGTTATACTCTTGTTCTTGTTAACAACTTCATCAGAACTTAGTGCAATTGCAAGTACCATTTTATTTTGCATTTTTATATTATAAGTTTATACCTAGTTGTGCTTTAGCTCATTCTAGCTCAAAACATAGACAACACCAAATTCATTATGTTAGACCGTAGTGCAATTACAAGAGTGAGTCTGGTGCCATTTGTAATTTTTTTTATAGTATTAGTTTATACCTAGCTGTACTTTAGCTCATTCTAGCACAACACATAAACAATATCAATTTCATTATGTTTATTAGTGATTATACTCTATATGACCAAACCTCCCACCACTACTCGCCACATAATACAGGATATAAACAACCACTATTTAAACCAAAAAGATGAATGATCACGTTGACCCTGATCTAAACCTCCATACTCTAACACACAATCAAAACTTATTGGAAAGTAACTGCCTTTATTACACAGCATCACAAGTCAGCACTATCCTGAACACTGCTCAAAGTCTATCAGTTCTTAACTACAACATCAAGTCCTTAGGTAAACACTATGATGACCTCCTGGCACTCCTTGAGTCACTAAAGACACCCTTCTCCTGCATTATTCTTACTGAGACCTGGCTTAAGCAGGACACAATAGATATCTACCCACTACCAGGATACACAGCAATCCACAACTGTAGACCATAAAAAGTTCGGGGTGGTACTGCAATCTATTACTCTAACCAACTGTCTTGTATTAGCACTAATTACTTTAGTGATGAATATGGGGAATACATTTTTGCTAATTTTACTGTAAAAAACCTCAAGACGCCTATAACAATCGGTGCCATTTACCGGATACCCCACACAAACATCCCAAACTTCAGTGAGAATCCCAAGGCACTAATAACAAACAGACAAATGAACAAACACCACCTTCTCTTAGCTGGAGACTTCAATATCAACCTTGGCCTACCAGATGATCAGACTGTAACTGATTTCATCAACAATATGAACAACACACTTCTCATACCAACAATAAGTAAACCAACCAGGCTGGCTGAGACAAGTGCAACCATAATAGACCACATATGGACCAATATATTAGCCTCCCTTAAATCAGGGATAATCACAGACAGCACTACTGACCACTACCCAACCTTCCTCTTAACAAACATTAGTAAGCCACCACTCGAATACAACAAAGTTTCATTTAGACTCCATGACGAGGCCTCAATAAGGAATTTCACAGCAGACCTAGAGACTGTTGACTGGCCTACAGAATTCTCCAATGCCAATGGTATTGACGATTGGACAGACATTTTTCTTAACAAAATACTTAGACTATACAACAAACATTGTCCCATAAAAACGAAACAGATCACGAATAAACGGCTCGGTTGCATATGGCTAACCAGCAGCATTCTGAAATCCATTGATAAGAAACACCAATATGAAAAGCAATATAGACAGGGCTTAATACACAAAGATATTCTTAAACACTATTCATCAGTTCTCAACAAAGTAATAAAGAAAGCCAAACAACTGTACTACTCCAGCAGATTCACTGACACAAGAGGAGATATAAAAAAAAGACCTGGAAAACACTTTCCCAGATTCTGGGGACCCACAAACTGAAAAAAACACAAGAATATTGTCCTAACTAAACCTCATGAAACACCACTGCATCCCACTGATACAGCTAACAAGATAAACGACTTCTTCTCAAACATAGGATCTAATCTCGCCAGTAAAATCCCACGTACCAATGCCCATGTCGGGGACTACCTAGATGGGAATTTCCCAAATTCCTTCTATCTTGTACCAACTGAGCCCACGGAAGTCACCGAGATCATAAAGTCACTTAAAAATAACTTGGAGACTCTGTCTCACGTCCCACCATTATTGTACAAGCGAGCGGCCCATATCCTTTCGCATGCTATTTCATTACTTTTTAACAAGTCACTAGAAACTAGCACTTTCCCGACACTACTCAAGAGAGCAAGGGTTACACCAATACATAAAGGTGGTGACCCTACAGATGTAAACAACTATAGGCCAATATCAAACTTACCATTGCTATCCAAAATATTCGAGAAACTTGTGCACAGGAGACTGTATTCATTTATAAAGGCACAAAACATACTCAACCCCTGCCAATTTGGATTCAGGAAAAATAAAAGCACTAATGATGCAATTATAAAAATGCTAGACCTGCTTTACACAGCATTGGAAAATAAGGAATATCCGCTAGGAATTTTTATTGACCTAAGAAAAGCGTTTGACACAGTTGACCATGGCATCCTACTCCACAAACTTGACCACTATGGTATAAGAGGCCATGCGCTTGCATATTTCAAATCCTACCTTTCTAATAGGCATCAGTATGTCACCATAAAAGACAGCCTCATCAATACGGCCACTTGATACTGGAGTTCCGCAGGGAAGTGTCCTTGGACCCCTGCTCTTCCTCATTTACATCAATGATCTTCCAAACATATCCCAACACCTGAAACCCATTCTCTTTGCTGACGACACGACTTATGTCATCTCCCACCCTAATCTTGCCACCCTCAACACCATTGTTAACGAGGAGCTGCTCAAAATATCGACTTGGATGACAGCCAATAAACTTATACTTAACACTGACAAAACCTACTGTATTATGTTTGGTAGCAGAGCAGGAGTTGCGCAACTTAACATAAAGATCGACAACACTCAAATTGCCAGACATAATGAGGGCAAATTCCTTGACCTATACCTCGGCAACAACCTAAATTTCAGCATCCATATTCAACACATAACAGAAAAAGTATCCAAAACGTTGGGGATCCTCTCCAAGATACGATACTACGTACCGCAAACTGCCCTTCTCACACTATACCATTCACTTACATATCCATACCTCACGTACGCTATCTGTGCTTGGGGTTCAACTACAGCAACACACCTAAAGCCAATAATAACCCAACAAAAAGCCGCAGTAAGAATAATCACTAAATCCCATCCCTGGCAACACACCCCCACTACTCTTCATAGATCTAAACTTACTCCCTGTTCAGAACATCCACACTTGCTACTGTGCAATTTATATTTACAGGGCCTTAAATTCCAATATTAACCTTGACCTAAAACGTTTTCTTGATAGTTGTGACAGGATCCACAGGCATAACACCAGACACAAACATCTCTATGACATTCCCCGTGTCCGACTAAACCTTTACAAAAATTCAATGTATTTCAAACGACCTAAAATCTGGAACACCCTACCTGAAAACTCTAGAACTGCAGACACACTCATCACTTTCAAAACTACAGTTAGAAAACATCTTATCTCCTTGATACACCCCGACAACTAACTACATGATAACCACCTGGTAGTTCACAATTACGCTCACTCACCCACTGACTATAAACACAGAAATACTAATCTTAATCTTAAAATAATGAATCCTAACTAGTCATAAGTTTGCCTATGATACTCCAATATAGACACTTTGTATTGTGCTGAAACAAAAGCATAATCTGTAAGGATTTA